GTAGCGTCCTCCGCTCTACGCGACGCAGATAAGGCGTTTGACACGGAAATGCGCGGTTGGCGTGGGGCGTCAGACGACGTCCGTCAGATAGCCGGCGCGACGCTGTGCACTGGAAAGGAGGTGGATTGCCCGCTGCCGCAGACACGCGGGGACAATGTGGCTGTCAAGACGCAGTCCCGCAAAAAATGCGACACGCCTGGTTTGCAAATGTGTTGTAGCGGTGCAGTTGCAGGGCGTGCACCGGTGCTTTGTCTCCCCTTCGTGAAGGACGATAAGGCCATGGTCGCAGAGATAAGGCCATCACGAGCTGGCTATGCTACGACGCCAAGTACGTAATGGTACAAAATGGCATTGACAGGACGCACCAGTGCGATAAAACGACAGGCGCGAAACTACGCGTTTGTACGTTTCTGCCCAGCTACACGAGGGACTCTGAGCCTATCTTTCCGCTTGAACCGGCTTGTGACGAAAAGCTCAGAACCGTCGCACGAAATGGTGTTGTAGCTCAGGAGCATCGCACAGGATACGGCTGTAGCTCAGGAGCGTCGCACGAAATGTGGTTGTGAGCGTGAACCTATGAAACGACACTTGTCAACATTAACCGTGGATGACTGACGATGTCCCAAAAAGACGTTGGATGGCAGGGGTACAATTTCCTATTCAATCCCGCCCCCACCCCTTTTGAAGGAGAAAGGCAGGGAGAGTTCGGTTTTTGCCGTATTTTCAGGGTGGGTTTGGACAATTTTCACTGCTTGGACTTTGAAATATTTTGCGAAACTACACCTCTGATGGACGGACATAGCAGCAGGCGAACCTGGTACAAACAGTACAAATACGGGAGCAAAGAACGCTCCATGCATCGGATTGGCTCAATGCGTACGGTGACATGCCACAGCGGCATTAAGTAGATTTAAGTCAGATGCTACTTAAGTGTGACGAGGTAGCGATATGGTATATACGGCAACATCTAAATGAGCCTCCATTCAGACAAGCATAATGACGAGCATACGTTTCTCCTACAACACCATGGATCAAGGTGGAGGGCGTATTTATCATCCAAGCGACCAAGCCAGCGGTCGATCACGGCACATGCATCGCAGAATGTATGTGTTGCTATGGTGCCCGGCCTATTACTACTCTTGGAGTTAGTTCAGAGCTCTTTCGGCAACGAGTGGCCATTCCAGAGCTGTAGTATGAGGAAGAGATGACAGATGTGGCAGAACCGCAGCCATCCTGGGCTATCAAGCCGATAACGGGCCTGGCCCCGCCCTCCTGGACCCGAGACTGGGGAGTGTGTAAGCGCCCGGGCAAGACCCCCCTCCCCCTCCCCCCCAGCCAGCGGCCGTGGGGCCGTCTCGCAACTGTGATGGTCAACACCATTACAGCTGAGCTTTCAGATTCAGAAGACTGAAATGTTCAGCAGAATGTTTGAATACAGCTGTCAGAATCCATACTTTCCTACCATATATCTGGAGGTATCAAATATCACCTCAATTAAACATTTGCATTCAGTATCTGTACCCGTAACGGGCCATTCGTCAAAGACTCGGGCTGCAACAGGCAGCTCATCATGCAGGTGAGCTGTGACGGCTTCATCTCCAAAACTGACTGTGGTTATGCGCACTGGTGGTCGGAATGCTTGTGACGTAGGATTCATTTTTTAGCTCATTGGTTGCTGGATTGGTTTTGGCTCATGTAGCGTTCCTGTTAAGTGAACGCTGTTTGCCGCAGACGCGGAATCATGGAACGCAAACAGACACATTTTCAAGCCTTGAACTTCACAGCACTAACATTAAGCGGAAGTCGTGCGATTGGGATGTGTCCATTTGAACGCGGCCGTCTTTGGTGACCTGCCCTGTTCCTGCACGGCCGACGGAGCCTAGTTTACTGGCATGGCCACTGGACAGTGGTGCTGAATGAGGGCGGCCGGCAGGAAAGTAGTAGCGAAAATAGATGACAACGTTTTAAACGTAAGAAATACTTATAGTCAGGCGCGCAGGACTCAACCGTGTGCACTGTATATCAGTGCTATAGAGTTATCCAATGGTACCGTAACAGTGTATTCGGTCGGCAGCACCTATTTTAATTAAAGGGTGCGTTCCACATCTGCGCGGGGTTTTGAAGTAACGTAGCCATTTTTAAGATCGTTCGGTACAACGATTTTTGCAGATAAAAGATCGAATAGGAGTGCCCAATGTCATGTAGCGAAGGAGAACGTGGTGCATATGTGCTATATGATTTCCTGAGCTGCGTAAGCCCGTGGGTACTATATACAATAGATAACGGTTTGGGATGGGTTACAGAGTTTGGGAAGCATACATGTAGTGGCACGGGCATGCGGACAACACGTGCCAAATGTCAAGTAGAAACTTTAGGAAGCGTTCCGATATGTGACTGTTTTTTATTCATCATTCGCTTCATTGAATTTATTTGTTTAATTACCAATGCAGAAGTGCAGGACTAGGTGTATTTGTTTTTTTCAAACGTCCTATGGTTGAGAACTTAACCCTCGCCCAGGTGACCGGTTGGATACCCTTAGTTCGGGTAGGGTGTCAATTTGATCCCCCCGAGATCTTAGGAACTAAGGGAGCTAGAGACACCAAATTCACAGGATGCGTTTTCCTGTACGTGACATCACTTGGGCAAAAGTTTGAGGTTTCTAGGTCATGACCATTGGGCCAAATAACAGCAAACAAGGTCAAATTCCGGGCTGGTCTCCAAAGTGCCCCCAGAATCTAAATACCTGTACTAAGCAAAGGGTCACGTGCTCATTTAGGAACAGTGACCTTGTCTGACCTTAAGGGAGGTCATGGTGACAAAAATAATGCAAGACTTCTTTGAGCTAAGCATTTAAATAAGCGGCAAAGGTCAGGCTAGGCAGTATGTTCCTAAAACCAAACTGCCCATCTGGGTCAGTTGAGGTCAGTGACCTATTCTGACCTTTAAGAAGGCTATGGAGGGCGTATAATGCGATTCCTGTCGTCATTGAATTCGAAATGACGACCAGAAATCATCCCATACAGCAAGCCGTGGAGCAACAAAACGGGTTAGTTTTGACCTTGGTCTGACCTTCATACCTGACACTAGAACAGTGAAGTTTGTTCATTCTATTGTTGTGTTTTCTCAAGAAAGTACCTCAGAGATGTATGGCTTCGTCTAACACTCCGTTGTTGCATCACATTAAAGATTCCCTAGGAACTGACTTTGGCTTGCTTGAAACTGAAATACATGGCCTGACTTTGACTTGCCGTAAGTCAGCAGCCTTACACGGTACATCTAAATTTTTAGTACTAAACGATCCGCTATTCAATCTTCTGCAACTATGCATAATTTGGCGCGGTTACCCCGAGCCCTTTTGGAAGCTATTTTGGAAGAACTTTTTTTTGGGGGGGGGGGGGTAAATTGACACCCCCACCCGAGCGCGTGTTAAGATCTGGGGAAATCCGAAGGAGTGGGTACGAGTGGGTAGAACTGGTTGGGTATGGGTAGTGGTTGGGTATGAGTACAGCCCCCTGGTAGCGGGTGGATTGGGAAGAGGAAACCTTATCCTTAAAGACGTCTGCTTTGTGCCCACCACTTAAGCCTGTCGTTCCTTATATCGCCATTTGGCTTTTCTTCACTTTGCCGTCGTCATTTATGCAAACATAAATTACCTTCAAGAAATTCACTATTTACCCCTTCCCCAATTTGGCATGTCACCTTTTTACATGTTGCCATTTTGCATTTCACCATTAAGGCGTTCACCATTTTGGCATGTCGATTTTTTGTAGGTTATATGACTATTTTTATAACTATTATATATAGCTGTTTTTAATTCGCCAGTTCGGAGTCCGCCATTTTAGCATGTCAGTGTCCTTACATGTCGCCATTTTGCAGTTTGCCATTTAGCTGGTTCAAAATCTTGGTATAACACATTTTTACATGTTGCCAACATGAAAGTCGTGGTATAACAGTCGACAAAAAGTCGTTCTACAAACTGCAAGCCGATTTCTTATTCGGACATTGACTAAAAACATCGTCGTCTACATCGTCTACGACAGAGTTGCGAGAATGATGAGAGAAATCAACAGGCACGTCGTGAAGTTGTGAAGCTGTGAAAAGCTGAATGCATAAATTTTGCCGGAGGAACCCTCAGTTTCATTTACCCGTGGTCAACGCACACTACGTTTCGGTGAAAATGGCGCCAATGTTAAACGAAATGCAACAAAAGCACTTACCAGGCGCACGACAGGTTAACTTTATGCGGCAACACGGTGAGCTCGAGGAAAAGAACGACACGACCGAGCTTCGTCCTTCAGCAGTCAGCCCACACTCCCAACGCTAACAAAAGTCCAAAGTCTGTTCCGAGACCAAGACCTGTCTCGCCAGCCGAAGCTGTGCGCGGTGTCATTGCGACTCTAGCTGTTTTCTTCGAGGAACATCGCGCCAAGTTATTCGGCTCTCAGCAAAGGAGCAAGGCAAGCGCAAGCCTTTGCAGACAAGGTGACCGTTGCTGAGGCCGCCGGGGTCGACCAGCGCATTATGCGTCGCCTGAGCACTGTACTGTGAATCGTGGCATCCTGGCGTCCAGTGCACGCTGAAAATCTCGGTACCTATTGCCCTGAAGCAGCCAAACAGCTCGTGTGCACCCAGCCGCGGTACTCGGCGTCCGCATCTGTGCACCAGGTGCACCACATGCAGTAGTTATGGCTGTCGCTCAACGACTTCCGCTCAAGCTCCTCAGTGAAGCCACGAAAGAGTCTTGCAATAACGACCTGCCAGCGTGCCGTGTTGGACAAGCTAGAACAGATTCTAGCCTAACGTCACTAATAACGTAACCTCACTAACCAGATATAAGTCGCTAGCCAGGCCGCGCATGCGCTGGTCACCAGTGACCCCATGGAGAGCCCAGCGGCGAACAGTGTACATTGTCAGGGAACTCCCAGGGGCAGCAGGACGTTACCGGAAGAGGTACTCGCCCTTGTAATAAGAGGACCCTCCAGGAAGGCGCCTCAATATGC